AACTGAAAATTTGTAGTTGTATTGAGTCAAAATTGACAAAGTGTTGGAGCTGAATTTTTGTATAGAACTTAGCTGAGGAGTCTAAAGGAGAACCAAATCTGGTTGCTTCTGCATGCACTGTGCTCACAAAAATCCAGTTTTATGCAAGACTTTTGGCAAAGTTAATCTGTATAGTCTCACTTGAAGGGACATGTCCACACTTTCTGTACATAAACCAACCTTTGAAGCTTCAAAAAGCCCTTCCAAAAACATGGTCTGGCTTAAATGCCAAATATAAAATGTGAATTGCTGGTGTTGACGTAAGTGGTTGCCGTTTTGAAATGGAGAAAACACTAGTTAGAAATGTCATATTTTATTGAATTAATTTGACAAGCATAGCTTTAACTACAAACAAAACATTTTAAAAACTGTCATTTATTGTCTTCAGACTCTAATTCAAAGAGCTGATTAAATATATAGAGTCAGTTTGGCTGTGGCATTATTGTGAGGATCTTGCAGTGGATTAGATTTGGTACCTTATGTTTCAAAGCCTTCCCCGCACAACAAATCACCTTTCTCTTCACCCATTGAACTGAATATACTATATTTTAGGAACAATCTGATGACAATTTTTGTATTAATGCCCTGCATCAATTTGATGAAAAAACCACACAAGACATCAAGTGGAACACCACTCATATATCCACTGTGAAGGTTGCTTTGCAATCAATTATCCCTCTATTCTGTTTGGTTCAAACATGGTCCTGGAACGGCTTGTTTAAGTCAACGTTGAAAAGGTTGAATTACGGACATTAGGTCCTGTTTGTAACTGCAGTTTGTGTTTTGCTCCTTTCCGGGTGCCTCTTGGTCTTTTGGTTATTGGATCTGTGTATATGCCATACTAAAGCAGCATTCTTTTTGTAGGCCAATGGGATACCTATTCCAAGAGTTTTTGATCTATAACTTCACTCCATGCTCAAACATTTATCTGTTGTTATAGACATGCATGGCAACACCTACAAGGAATTTGATTTTTGGCATTGTTTTAAATTTGAAAATTACTGTAGCTTTAATTTTATTCCATTGGCCACATGGGTAGTATCATCATGAGTCTTGACTTCTCATGTTTTGTAATTTTTGCTAGAACTAACTTATTTTGACCATTTCTACTTCATTGTTCAGTTGTTGGGCATGTCATAATTCATGCATTTTAACCATTTGCTGATGTGACATAATATGTACTTGTGTATTTTCCCCCTTGTCTGATGAGGAATCTCTGGAATTGGTAATTTTGGCATCCAAATCTTTGGTAGTCACTGAAATCGGTCTTCCATAGTAACACAGACATCTTTGTCCCATAAAATGGCTGTGCCAACTAGCTGTTCCTCTGAAATCATTGTTGGATTCATAGCTTAAAGTCATCCACTTAAGTATGTATATATGTGTTGTGTTCCTATAATGTTCTGATGATTTTTTTGAGGATGCATTTGAATTCATGCTTCTCAAGATCACACCAGTGGCTGATCCCTGTTCTCATTTGGCATCGGGCACATTCCTTCTTTCATTTTAACATCAGTTTTTCTGTAACACCAAATTCTCTCAGTGCCTACATTGGTATTTGATGAGTTAGTAAATGTAATGACTTTCACTTGCAAACAGCTTTATTCTTTTATTCCTTTTGGGAGAGCTTGCATTTCTGTTTGTTATTTCCACACACAGTCGGCCCTGCGTGGGCATCTCTTAAACTCCCACTCATCTGCTTGGCAATATGGTCCATATTGCTTGCTCGATCTAACTTAAAAGATGAGGCAAACATGCATTTCTAAAGTAAAAGATCAAGGCTGACTCTACATGAGAGAACAGCATTTCTTAGCAGAAAAGGGGTGCTGACTGATATGTCAATTTTGGGGTCTGAATTTGTCACCAAAATGAATGGAGTAATTTTATATGCTGGGCTGACTTGTACCCCATGATTTCTGGTTCAGAGTAATAAGGCCTCAGGAAATATTAGGTATATTTTTCAATTTATCAGCAAACATCAACATGGATTTTTGTGAAAGTTAAATATTGAAGTAAATGATGATAACAGACAAGTGAGCCATAAATAAGGTAGTTATATGTAGAATGTTCACGTTTTCTTTTAATAGAGGGAGTTAAATTTGTAGCATTGACTTTTCAAATGTAATGTATCTGCCAAAAGTGAAATAATATCATGTTAGCTTCAGCTCACTCTGTAATGGTAAATAATGGGCCCTTGTGTAGTAATAAATAGTAACCTCAATCTGATTTGATTAGCGACGATAAAGTAACTGCTGCTTCTAACCCTCAGAATTTAACATATTGACTTAATTTGCTGAATGTGAATTAAAACCAAATGACTAAACTAGTTGGAAGAGCTTGTACACTGATAGTATGGCTTATATTTTATTTTAGCTCTAAATTAAAAGGAGAGATATTGCAAAAGTATTTTATTTACATTTGATTCCAATGCAATGTGCAACTTCATTAGACAAAAATTACAAGTCTTATATTTTCACTAGTTAGTTGAATGTTATGGTTGGGAAATAATTTCAATGTACAACATTTCCATTTTCAGTTAAAATACAGTATTTTGTTTCTGAAGTATGAATGGGTAATACTTGCTCAACTTCACTCCCTTCAGCTAGGAAGATAACTTTCCAGCAGTTGTATCCAAACCAACTATGAGGTATATCTGAGAATGCCCAGAAACACTGTAATATAACCCTCATCTTCAGTCTATATGGCCTGCTTCCACACTGTAGGGATTCTAAGTTGTAGGCGGAGTTCTAAATGTGTCAGTGAGAGGGGAAAATGTGGGTATAGAAATCATAGAGAAGGTCTATGATACAATTAAATTTAGCATGGTCAGGGAGGAGGTTCTAAGTATTTTGACCTTGGGCAGAACAAACTTTTTTTGGATTCACTACTTATTCTGTACTGCATTATTATTTCTTCTTGTGTAAATAACCAGTAAACTCATTCTGTTGTTACCTCAAACCTGCTTAAATTGTCTCCTTTTAAAAGATACCTTTTTCCCCAGACCAAACAACGTTGTCTACAAGGGGAGGAATCACTTCCAAAATAACCTTTTAGCAACTAACCAAGGGGTGGGTAAATAAAGAAGGAAAGTCAGTTCCACCCCCCTCACCTGGCAGCTAATGATTTGAAGGTATACTGTCTGGAACTGTAACAAATTGGGGAACATTACCTTCAACTGGTTGTGACATCTGCAAGAAAATATCGCTGTCATTGAAAGGAATACATGCAGAAATGTGAGAATCTTTGAGGAATCCTAGTCTTAAAAACCCATTGGCAGATGGTTACTATTTCTTTCTGCTTATTGTCCTTTGTGTGTCAACTTAGGGAGAGGATAAAGGTTTGGAGATCTGAAATGCCAGATATGTGCACAATTTGGATGTGACATGTATTTCCTGGCTTCCACAGCTTGAATGGGGATCCCTCCCCATTTTCCACATTAAACAAGTGAATGCATACAACTGTTTACACATGTTTTGGGTGAAATTGAGCATTAAAGGTTGTGAAGCTGCTTCATCAAGTAAGATTTGTCTTGAGTTAACTTTCTACAATTTGGCAGGATTCTGCTGTAGGTGTGGACATTAGCCATATGATTCAGTAACAGTAGAATTGGCACTTTTGAAGGCCCTCAGTGTCCAAGGGAGCCCCAAATTTCCATCAGCTTCTGATTTGCCAATTCCCAGACAAAGTTCTACTGTTGCCTGTGTAAACACAATGGACGGAATGGTATCCTTTTGCACCATAAACACTTCTATATGTTTAAATTGCATGTTTGAATACAGGAGTGAAAAAAATCCTGCTGTAATTGTACGGAACCTTCATGAGATTATGTCCAGAGTATTCTATACAGTTTGAATCCCATTATCAAAGGAAGGATATAGTTCCCATAGGGGAAGTGCAAGAAAAGTTCACCAGACTGAATTCTGGGATGATGCAATTGCCCTAAAATGAGAGATTGAGGAGACAGTGTTTTTTTTCTTTTTCAAATAGAAGATTGAAAGGTAATCACACTTAATGCATGCAAAGTTTTTAGAGGGTTCAACAGAGTTAAATCCAGAAATGTTGTTACCCCTGGCCTAGAACGTAGGGACAGAGTACCATAATAAGGAGGTAGGCTATTTGTGATTGAAATGAGGAATAATTGTTTTACTTGGAGGCGGTGAATCTTTGGAATTCTGTACTTCGGAGGGCTGTGGAGGCTTAGTTATTGAGTGTATAATGTGAGATTGAAACAGCTCTATGTATTAAGGATATCTGGGATAAAGGAATGGTGTAGGGAAAATGAGAAAATGGTATTAAGATAGATGATCAATCATAATCTAGTTGAATGGTGGAACGGTCAATGGGCTGAATGACCTAGCCTTGTTCCTATTTTCTGCGTTCCTATAAGTGTAACCTAGAAGAACAGATGATTTGTGCTGAGGTTTGCCTAAACATGCTGGAGTGTGGGGAAATAGAAAGAGAAAATATGGGGGTCCTGAAGTGGCAATATGTATTGGTAATTTCATTATCTATGGTATGCTTTGAATTTAAAAAGAATTTCCTGAAGAACCTGGTGTAATTGGTCGGATATTCCTGCTGAGAACCTCTTCCAGTGCCTGCTGGAATATCTAGGGCCAAGCTGACATTCCCTGGTTTAAATACTGGCAAACACTTGCTCCACAGTAAGCACATCTTATTTATTGATATTTACTGTGTAACAACTGGTTTCCGTGTAAGTTTAAATTAATTTTGCCTTGTTAAAGCCCAAAGGAATTTCTCATGTAACACGTAATTAACTTCAGCCTAGTACATGGAATATTTGATCAATAGTACATTGCTCTTGCGTGCTTAACTTATTGTCTCAGGTTTGAAGCACTACAGAGACTGATGAAATATTCTATTAAGAATTTGGCCCCCATTTCCACTTTGGTGAATGTTTGTTTGTTTGTTTTTATTAACAAAATTTTATTTTTTATTTGCAGGCTGATCTCCTTTCAAGATTTCCTTGCATTTGAATCTACTTTACGTAAACCGGATGCCTTATTCATTGTTGCTTTCCAGCTATTTGACAAAAATGGCCAAGGAGAAATCAGCTTTGGTGTGTACTGCATACTAACCAAATGTTGGGTAAACCAATGAAGATAAAAAACAAGACTAAAAATGTTAGAAGTCAAAGTAAAGCAAGAACTTAGTCAATCAATACTCGAGTGAAGCATAACTAACCAGTGCTTGAGTGAAATATGGGTTTGCATTTTGTGTAGTTTTTTCCATCAGAGCCAGAGTTCTATCTGAAATATTAAGCTATTAATTTCTCAATGCTATTTAACCACTTTGGATTTCCTTCATTTTTTTTGTTTCTAGTTTGTAAACTGTGTTATTGCTAGTTTTCATTGTAAAACTGTTATTAATTTCTAAGTGCATATTTTCTAAAGGATTTCTAAATTTCTAGTGTCTACAGCATTAGGTGTGATCTTCATCCCCAGAGTCAACTACCACATGGTATTTTAGTTTCTTGTAGAAGTTATAGCAATACTTTCTCGGCCATTAACTTCTGCAGATTTTTTTTTTTCCTATTTTCTCCGATCTGTTTTGGATTTACTGTGGATACAATAACCCCATGTAGGGCAATAATGGAGTATACCAATTGTTCTTTGTGAAGTAAGGTATACTACAAAATACTGCAATAATAATACATCATAAGTTCACCTGTATAATGTCTCCAATTGCAAGTAGCCCAATTTGAGGATTTGTCTGAAGATCAGATTGATGCAGGTCATTAGCCTGCTTTGTTCAGATGACTACTGTTCTTGAGAGAGCGAGCTATTGCCCTGAGGGACGTTGTCTTAATCTCCATTCCATAGAACCATAGAGATCTACAGCAGTGAAAAAGGCTGTTTGGCTCATCGTGTCTACACCGATCATAAACAACTACCTAATTATTCTAATCCCATTTTCCAGCACTTAGCCTGTAGCCTTGTATGCCTTGGCATTGCAAGTGCATATTGAAGTACTACTTAAGTGTTATGAGTATTTCTGCTTCTATCACCCTTATAGGCAATGAGTTCTGGATTCTCACTCTTGTCTGGGTAAAAGTGTTTTTCCTCATATCTCCTGTAAACTTATGCCATTTTCCTTAAGTCTGTGCACCCTGATCATTGATCCTTCCATCAAGAGGAAAAGTTCCTTCCCTTTTACCCTATCTATGTCCCTCATAATTTTATACATTTCAATCATGTCCCCTCTCAATCTTCTCTGCTCTAAGGAAAACAACCCCAGTCTGTCCAGTCTTCCCAGCCGAAATTCTCCAGCCCAGACAATAATCTGGTAAATCTACTGTGCATCTTCTCCAGTGCTATCACATACCGTCTATAATGTGGATTCCAGAACAGCATTCATTACTTTAGCTGTGGCCTAACTAACATTCTGTACAGTTCCAGTATTACCTTCCTGCTTTTAAAGTCATCCTTTGATAAAGGCAAGTATACCATATGGTACCTTAACCACTTTATCCACCTGCCCTGATACCCTAAGGGACGATTGTACATGCACAACATGGTCCCCCTGATCCTTGGTGCTTCCCAGACCCCGCTTTCCATCATGTATTCTCGTGCCTTGTTTATCATGCCCAAGTACACCTCACATTTATCTGAATTGAATTCCATTAGCTGCTGAGGAGCCCATCTGATCAGCCATTTATATCCTCTTGTAGTCGAAGGCTTTCTTCCTCACTGTTTACTACCCTACCAATTTTTGTATTGGCTGCAGTCCTACTGCTCAACCCTCCTGTGTTCAAGTCTGAATCATTTCATATAAACCAAAAACAACAAGGACCCCAACATTGACCCCTGTGGGACACCAGTGGATACAAACTTTCAGTCAAAAACACTGCTGAACCATCACTATTTGCTTCCTGCCACTCAGTCAATTGTGGATCCAATTTGCCAAATTTCCTTTGATTTACTGTCAGCCTCCTATGCAGGATATCTTAAAAAGCCTTGCAGAAGTCCAAGTGGACTACATCAAAAGCATTGTGCTCACCTACACTCCTGGCCATCTCTTCAAGAAGTTCAGTCAAGTTGGTCAGACATGCCCCCCCGCAATCGCAAAACCAATAACCACATGTAGCCCAATAATGGAGTATACCCAAATTACACTACAAAATACGACTATAATAGTAATACATCACAAGTTCATCCATATAATGGTTACAATTGCAAGTGATGTTGACTGTTCTTAACCAGTCCCTGCCTCTCCAAATGCAGGTTCATTTTGTCTTTCAGAATTGCTGCCAAAGTTTCCCACCACAGTGGTTAGACTAAGTGTCTATATTTCCTTGTTTATCACTTACTCCCTTCTTTATAATGGTACCACACTGGCTGCCCTCCAGTAATCTGGCACCTCTCCTGTGGCCAGAGAGGAGGAATTGAGAAGTTTTGCAAACACCCCTGCTATTTCCTCTCTCCGCAATCTGGGATGCATTTCATCTGGCCTTAGTCATTTATTTAATTTTAAGCCTGTCAGACCACTCTGATCCTAATCTCTGGCTATACTAATTTCTTTAATTATATCACAGATCTTCTCCCTGATTTCTATACCCAGACTGTCCCTCATTAGTAAAGAGCAACCATATGCATTTAGAACCTTACCTACATACCCTGGTTCCACATACATTATCTCTGTAGTCCTTAATGGGCTGATTCTTTCCTTTTATTACCCTTTTACCATTAATATACCTGTAAAACAACTTGGGATTTTTCTTTGTTTTACCTGCCAGTGTCCTTTTTTATCCACTTTTAGGTCTCCTAATCTCTCTTTTAAGTTCCCTCCTGCACGTTCTACACTCCTGTAGGGAGAAGGAGGGGTAGGGCTTCTGCTAATTTGAGCCCCCTGTATCTGCCACAAGCCGCCCTTTTTTGCTCAAAGCAAAGCTGTATGTCTCTTTATCTACAGGGTTCACAGGATTTGATTTCCCACCCTTTTTCTTTCTTAAACATGTTGGCCCTATATTCTGTATATTTCCTTCTTGAGTGCATCCCACTGTTCTGAGACAGAATTACTTGAAAGTATCTGCTTCCAGTCCGCTCTGGCCAAATATTAGATCTTATTAAAATCAGGCTTGCCCCAGTTGAGAACTTTGATTTTGGGCCCATCGTTATCTTTTACATAACAATAACGTAACAATCCTTGATCAGTTCTTGACACTGTGCAATCTTCAGCAATTGATCAGTTGGAAAACAAGTGTGTCATGTCTACCATGGTCAGTTATCTTTCACTAATTAGGATATCTGCTTCTTTTCCCTCGAAGGGGGCTTGTGCTCCACTTTTACCAAACCTTGACCCCAGGCCTGTTCATGGTTATTCATTTGGTTATTTCCTTGGATGACAGAAAAGCTACAATCAACCATATAGTTACACTGCACAACTCTGTGGTCAACTGAATTTTCTCTTGCTGACAAATGGTCACCAATTCAGTCCATTTCCTACTGATTTTAATTTAAACACACATATTCCTTCAGGAAACCCATTAGGACACCATCTGACTGACTTTTCAGTAGGACAAGTTTCACGTTTCTCTCATTTTGGTTACCTACACTTCTTGAAATTAGCTTTTGCTGTAGAGAAGGGATGCGAGATGAGAAATCACATGCTACTATACGTTTAACCTTTTTAAGAAATTTTTATTTACTAAAACTAATGTGTTGTGCAAGTTTGTAAGTACAACTGCATTTTGAAGTGGAAGTCTTCCTGAGAAAGCTTATTGTCCAAACAGAAGACAGCATGTGTTTTATTATTGACCTGCTTACAAAGCTTATTTGTCAGAAACGAAATTGTGGATTCCTACACCGAATGTTATTGACTCTCTTTCTTCTTCTTTATTCATATATCTGCAATTCACTGCTCCTGTTGCCTATACACTATTAGAACTGAAGTGTCATTATGCTATCTTAAAAGAAGGTTGGATTGCAGTTAATCTAGAAAATGAAGTAATTATATTGTCAGTAATCAATGCACTAGCAAATGCATGCAGGTATGTTTAAAATACCAGTATGAAGACCACCTTTGAACTTGTAATTACAGTTTGACAGATGTAAATGGAGTAGACACAATTTAAGTACAGGCATTATTAACAAACAAAAAAGAAAAATCGATGCCTAAGTCAATGATACAGGATAACAATTTAAATATTCAAACTCTAATCAGGGGTTTATGAATGGCTGCAAATATTTGCTATTTTATATCTTGATTATACCACTTTTATATGAATACCTACTTTTCTTCAGTTAGATGCTTATGACTCATTTGTTGCATAACACATTAATGTATTTTTAACAAAATGAAATGTGAACTCAACCATAACCCTTTAAATATCATTTATATAATTTTAGAAAACTGTGTACAATTCTGATCGCCATTCTAAAGAAAGAATTTGTTAAACTTGAGGGTGCAGAAAGGCTTTACTAGGATTTTGGCAGGACTGGAGCATTTGAGCTATAAGGAGAGGCTAGATAAGCTGGGGCATTTTCCCTCTGGAATGTCACAGGCTGAGGAGTGACCTTTATAGAGGTTCATAAGATCATGAAGGGCATGGATAGGGTGAATTGCCAAGGTCTTTTTCCTAGGGAAGGGGAATCCAAAACTAGAGACCATAGGTTTAAAGTGAGAGGGGAAAGATTTAAAAAGGACTTGAGGGGTGACTCTTTCACGCAGAGTGGTGCATATATAGGAATGGGCTGCCAGAAGAAGTAGTGGAAGCAGGTACACTTACAACATTTCAAAGGCACCCAGATGGGTATATGAATAGGAAGGATTCAGAGGGATATGGGGCAAATGCTGGCAAATGGGACTAGGTCACATTGGAATGTCTGGTGGCGTGGACGAGTTGGACTGAAGGGTCTGTTTCCAAGCTGTATAACTCTATGACTCTGACTCTGTATAGGACGCGAGAAACTATTTCTCCGTTTAACACAATCTAAATCTTTCTTCTCTTAGGATCTGCAGCTTGAATGTATTTTGTTACAATCTCAGTTGAGACCAGTAACTGTTGAGAGGAAATTTGAACTCCCAGCTATTATTTGAGAGAATTACAACAAGATTTCA